ACACTATAGAAAATGGGCTAAAAGTGTTAAAAACCGGAATTTTCCTTTAAACAAAACTAATGTCATGTCTTTAATGGCTTTTTTAAATTTTGGTAACACTTTCTTCTACAGTTCATCAATAACCACGTATTAACATGCTAATAACAGAGCAAGTTACTCTATATTACTAGGTAACAAGAAAAACTATCGAAAATTTTTATAAGTGCCATGCTTTAAATTTTAGGCAGACAAGGTAACGCCAGACGTCTTATATTTAAAACCTATTTTACCAGGTAACTCAGTCATTTCACCGACAGCAATAAATTAATGTCTTATTATCAATTAAAATGCAGTTTATTATTTGGCAACAGAAAACCAAGCCTAGAAGACAGCAAGCCAATCTTCACACCTAAAATCTTATTTATATGTAAATAAGTTACAATTTATTTTGTAATCCGTTGGTAGATGTTGGCCACTGATAGAAACCGTTATGTTGTGACCTAATGGTGATTACCCACCATTAGGTCACAGAGTAACACACAATTGTAATAATTACATGCATAATAACCAATTAAAGTTTTTTCTCATTACCAAGTAATATATGGTGACTTGCTATGTTATTCCATGTTTATTGATGTACTGTAAAATTAGAGGTGTGCAAAATAATCGTCATGACGATGCATCGCGATTCTAATTGTTGTGATCTACTGCATCGATTCTTTATGCGAAGTATCGATTCTTAATTTAAAAAAAGGAATAAATGTAATACATGTACGTTTGGCGCAAATCCGCCAAAAACAAGTGGAATACAGCTTCCAGTTAGCAGATGTCGCTGCGGATGTGTTGACGCCCGCTGCTTTGTGTCACAAGCATTTCCGTCCGAGGGATACTGCGACGAGTCATTCATAAACAAAACACGGAGGAGGCTGAGGCATCTCAATATTTCAAGTATCACGATGTATCGTGATAGAATCGCATCGTGGCATGTGGATCGTGATTCGAATCGAATCGGGACTTCTTTGGCAATACCCACCCCTATGTAAAATAAAGCATTACTTGAATTTTGGTGTCAAACAGAAACATGGATTATCACCATGGGTTCTTTGAGTTGCTTTTTCCAGCTGCTCAAATGTATTTACAGTTTTTCCTTCTGTTTTTCTACTCATTCAGTATTTATCAAAGCATTATAATTCATGGATTCATGATTGGTCTGATTAACATTGTCAATAAATGGCCTTAATTTTGCCTTTGACCCCTTGATCATGTCATGCAGGTGATGTTGTCTCCCTCTCTCCTCCATACAGGATGCCTCTATCGCCCACCGCTTTCATCTGATGAGGGAAAAGCACCCTGAGAAATTTAACAGCAGGTCAGTAAAAGAGCTTTGATGCAACAGTCTGACTGAGATTATCACTTTTTTGAAAAAAAAAAAAGAAAAAATCAACTTAAAGAATGATGTATGTGGTACAGATGGAGCTTTCAACTAATTATGGAATCAGGTTTCTGGAGGTCAGAGTGAAATAAAGATAAACTTTAGTGGATTTGACAGAGATTTGAGTCACTATTATATAGAACTATCTTTAAACGGGCTGCAGTGGGTGCAGGTCAGCAGTCTGATTAAAAGTTAACTTAGAAGATAGCAGCCTGGCAGAGGAAGGTCACATTGCAAAAACGATCCAGAAATAAGTCAATATTTCTTAAATTAAGAGCATTCACCCTTAATTTAAGTAGGTAAATAAGATGATTTGCCAATGGAATTTGTATTTTTATTCTTAAAATAAGATAATTAGATAATATGCAGTTGCAATATGACAAAGTAATAGTTTTTTTCTTATTTTGAATGTAAATTGTCTTGTTTCATTGGCAAAGTGTCTCACTTCCCTCCTCAATTCAATAAAAAAATCACCTATTTTAAGGGAAAATGTCTTATTTAGATTTCATTTTTTGCACTGCAGCAGTGAGAGTCCCAGTCAACCTTATGAAAGATATAGAGAAATGTCTCTTCTTTCTAAGAATCTGTCTCGGTCTTGGATGTAATCTGGTGCAAATGATGTAAAATAATCATTTACAATATTGGGTCATTTGTGTTTTTTCTGTTTCCATGGGTCTGGAAGGCTACAGAATATTCATTCAGAACAGCCTAATTACGTACAGGAAAGCTGTAAGGAAAACTGCAATACCTCTCTAGTCCAGTGGGTGGCAGGAATAGAAAAAAACAGTCACTGGGAAGATCCTTCAATTTCCTCAGTGTAATTTTTGTTGCCTCAGCCATGACTACGCAAAATAAATCAATGAAGAATTAACTAAATTCGACCTGTGTTTAACACGCATTCATCGGTTACAACCAGTGAGAGTTAGAAAACGATGTGTCGTTAATCCGGCGTTTCCTCCGGGTCTAGAGATTCTCAATCACTGACGATGGCTGATGTTCATTCATACAGAACGTGTGAGGCATCCTTTCTCAGAGCTGTTCCTTCCTAACCTGAAACAGATAATGCACTGTGGACGATGACATTCATGGACCTTCTCAGTTCCCCTCACTATTCTTTACAGGGCCCTCTTGTCTGCTGTTATATTGCTACAGTAGCAGCCATTCAAAGTGGCCCTTCCCATTCAATTGCCAGCCGAATGGCAGCCCACTTCCATGCAACTCCTAACCTGACTCCGCCAGATGGATTTGCTCCGCATATCCATCTGGAAACCTTC